ATTTGTAGGTGTTTCAACAAGTTGTTGGTCAAGTCTGCTGAACGATCGGTCGGCGCGGCCCAGCTGCAAGACAAAGCGGTGGGAAACCTGTTTGTGGGAGGGTATCATGAAGAAAAACCATGAAACCAACGAACAGCAGCAGGGTGGACCATTGGAGTCAATGTGTTGAAAGCAGGTACGTGAACCTGGCGTCCCAGGTTCATATCCTCTCCAATCATCAGTAGCTTCGTTGGCCACAGGCTGATGAAAGGAGCTGTGGCCCCATGCCTATATAAGGTGGTTGTCCAAGGTAGTTGAAAAGCATGGAAAGAGTGGTGGTGGAAGACCCTTTGTCCAGGGGTGGACACACACACACACACTTGGGAAACGCGTACGGAACTGAATTGCCTCACGCCACACGCCGACCGAGGTGTGAACGCCTAAGGGTTCAGGTTAGTTGGTATCTCTATGAAACCTCCACGAACTCGAACAGCGGAAGCGCAACAAGGTGACGACGTATGGTGCAAGTCTGCAGAATTAAACTTGAAATTGAAGGGTGGCCACCAGCTGCGTCTTACTATGCGACCATGTGCGCCACAGCAGGTACGTTTGCACAAGCTCTGCGTGAGCGTCTTTTTGGCTCTTGTCTCATGCAGGCTCCAAGAGCCCACTGCTAAAACATTAAAAACACTTCAAAGGAAGCCCTATGATTCCAAGGGTTTCAGACACACACACACACACACGCACACACCCACACACGCACGCACCCTCCCCTCAAACAAATGTAAGATACATTTCTGGAGGTCCCGGAGGTCCCCTCCATTTTTCAATGTTAAAAGGGTGGGGATGCTACTAGTAGCTTCTTGCTCCTAGTAGCGATGCCAGGAGCTACTAGTAGCATCCTTGTTACTAGTATATAGCGATGCCCTTTGTTACTAATAGCGTCCTTGTAGATATTTGGAGTCTGAATGGTCTGAAGGTGGTTATTGCGCCTGAGCATGTGAGTCTGCAATTCATGCCTCGCACATGTGTCAAACGGTATATATATATATTATATATATTATATATATATGTCTGTTCCCTCCATCAGCCCCGGAGCAGGGAGAACCAGGACTTGATGTTGGCAGGTCAAAGCACGCGCAAACACACCTTTTGCCAAGGGACGTCAAAGTGGTGCATGGCCAGGAAAGATGGCAGGGGTGTTGGCATGTCTTGAGCCAACTCAATGTGCGATGCCCTCGGTGTCAACTGCAATACAATCCCTCACTTGCACTTGACGTCTGTTGTCGTTAGCATGCTTTTTTCGGTGCCAGTCTGTCAGCCATTGCGTCAAAAGGTTCCAAAAGCTTGACCGTTACAAGCTCTGGAAGCGTTTGTCAACCAATTCCAATGAACTAACATATGCTATGAAAACATGTTTGCACTTATCACCCCTACCTGAGCGGAAGTGGAACACTTGCCCCAGCCAACCATTCACGAATGGGCCGTGTTCCACTTCAGTGGAGGAACATTCCAGAGCTTCACAGTGCCCGGGTGTGCCGCGCAAAAACGCTCGGCGAGCAGCTCTCACCCACGAAACATGGACTGCCCATCTTGCGGATCAATTCCCAGGATCCAGCATCTCATCGAACTCAATGGAATCCGAAATCAGATCTCCCCAAAGCCGATCTTGCAGTCCTGATTGCCGGTGTGCAAACTGTAGCTAGCGAAAGTCACATACGTGTGGTCATGAAGCCGTGGAAAGGGGCACTTTGATTTGCCAGAGATAGGAACATGTGGTGCACATGGTTCCATGACTATTCTATTCAAAGCGTACAACTCTCATATGACTCAGCCTAAGAAGATCTAAGAAGTGAATGGGCGAAAGCCACGCAAACGCTTAGAACAACGTGCTGCTTGACTCAAGTAGCTTCAACAAGCGATATGAAAGTCTTTCTGACAATACCCGCTTCGTTCGCAAGACGCATTTAGTGTAAATGGATCGAGATATGCATCTGCCGTGTCCTGCTTTGTCCAACGTCCTATCGCTAGAACATGATGCAAGTAGAACCTACCTTTCTGGAGTGTCCTCTTTTGCCCCGAGACGGCCTTCAAACAAAGCGCAAATCGGAGCACCAAGAAAAAATCCTCCCTAGACGACTAGCGACTAACGAGTGACATTGGAGTTAGTTAGGGCTCCCCAGTCATGTGTAGCCTAAAATTTGCAAAACATTGCATTGCACATGGGATAGCGCTCAACTCCCCAAGCCCTTCAAAAATCAGAAGTCGATACATCTATATATATATATAAACTCGCCGATGCCCTGACACATCAGTTAAGGAAGGATACCTTCATATGCCTTCATAAAGGGAGTATGCTGTCTCTCCTTTAACGCCAAAGTCATCAAATCCAAAAACACTGATTCTCCGTGCTTTTGCAGGTAGGTACAAAGCAGTATTGACTCAGGAGTTGCAAAGCCGCGGCAGATGCAGCGGCAGCGGATAATATAAGGTCTTTCCAGGGGAAACTTGGTGCTAGAAACCAACTTTCAGAGGTGTCTTTTTTGCCCGAGATGGGCTTCGAACAAAGCGTCATCAACCAAGAAACTTCGGGGAACCACCTCTAATGTTTGGTTGGCTCAAGTCCTGTTCCCGAAAACGACGTGAATTCAAAATCCCGTGCGCGCCGCTCATGTTATCCATATCACACCAAATAGAAAACAATTACAGTGGGCAGCACCCTGCAGCAGCACCCTGCAAGAACACCACCCAAGCCAGAGCGCAAAGGCCATAATAGACATCTGGCAGCGGCACCTTGCAACGGTACCAGCATCCAACCCCCTAAGCGCACACACGCACCTCTTCCTATATTTGAAGTAAGTGCCCCAATAGCTGTCACTATGGGGCGCCTTGCTGGTTTTGGTTTCTCCTGCGTGCCACTTCAGATTTTATTGAAACAAAAACTCCTTAGCGCCGACCTGCGGCAGCCAAACACATGACCAAAAGGGACCAAAGGACGGGGGATCACACAACTTCTCTGCAAAGGGCCTTGCTTGTCCATAATACTGCCAAACAAAAAATTGATGTCGGAAGCCCCCCCAAAAAATTTGCCGTTGATTTCAAGTGACTGCCCTTCCTTCCAGGTTTGAGCGCCCCCAACGCAACTTCAGAGTAATTAGTGACTTTTTTGAAATACTAGCACCCACTTATAGCTTCTCCACCGCCGCCCTCTTTTCCAGCCCAATTAGCTGTCTGTCTTGTTTGTACCTCCTGGGCGGCTGTCGGCTTGTAAAGCGAAAAGGGAAGACCCTTTGACTTGGGCGTTGTTTTGAGTGTTGGACGCCGGTCTTTTCAGTTACCTCTATTCCACGAAAAAAAATGAATGAGGGAAACGCAAGGTGAAGCGGTCAGCACAATTTGAAATGTTAAATAAGTGTTCATGCTGCGTGACTGTGGATTCTAGTTACTGAATACGTAGCCGATCGAATTATCGCCGTGGATAGAAACCTGTTTTGGGAAATCGCACGCAGAACCACCGTGGAACCAAAAAGGAAGAGTGGAGTCACAGCGTAAACAAACGTTTTCAGCAGGTACGTGGAAATGGCGTCCCACTTCCATATCCCCGGATACATCGCCAGCTTCGTTGACCAGGGGACGATGCATCCTGCCTGGTCCCCTGCCTCTTTTAAAACCCAAGGGAAATTGAATTAATTTGCAGCGTGTGGAAACCTTAGAAACAGGGGTGACACACACACAGAGAGCCGATATCGGCGCTCCAGAGATTTACTATAGCCACCTAACAAGCCTTAGAAAGAAAGGAAAGGAAAAGACAGAAAGAGCAAGCGAAGAGGGCAAGAGAGAAAGATAGGAGTAGCTACGAGGCCCACTAGTTATGAAAGCTTCTAGCTACTGACTACTTAGCCGAATGAATTAGGTGGAAAGGTTAGCGAGCGGGACTTTAGTCTTAGACCGGATGGGTGGGAAAGACTACGACAGGAGAACAGAAGGCACCAACACACAAGTGTGTTGAGTGCGACTTCCTTCTGCTACCCTAATTAGAGGGTGGGATAAGACGTGTGAATTCGCGTGCAAGGCGGGGGGGGGGTGTGGCTCTAAGGTACTGCCGTAAACGGCGCTCCCTTGACTAAAGCTTCACCTGAAACCTAAAAGCCTCGAGCAAAATCTGTGGAGCCTCGAGAATACTGCTGATGCACAGATCCGTAAGCCCGGCGGCGTCAAATCTCCGTAAACTCGGCAGTTTTGTGGTCAGAAGATTCATGGGGTGAGACACTTAATCAGTAAGTGATCATCCAACGCGTGCAGAAAAACGCTGTCGAAATGTGATCCACGATGGTTTCGGCGCTCCCTTGCAGGAGACCGCACCCTGCACCCAGTTGGACGACAGAGCGGCACACACTTTGACAATTGGTTTTCAGTTACCTCTATTCCACAAAAAAATGAATGAGGGAAACGTAAGGTGAAGCGGCCAGCACAATTGAAATGGTAAACAAGTGCTCATGCTGCGTAACTGCGGATTCTAGTTACTGAACACGTAGCCGATCGAATTATCGCCGTGCATAGAAACCTGTTTTGGATTGTTTTGGGATATAGCATGCAGAGCCACCATGGAACCAAAAAGGAAGAGTGGAGTCACAGCGTAAACAAAAGTTTTCAGCAGGTGCGTGGAAATGGCGTCCCACTTCCATATCCTCGGATACATCGCCAGCTTCGTTGACCAGGCGACGATGCATCCTGCCTGGTCCCCTGCCTCTTTTTAAACCCTAAAGGTGGTGACACACACACACACATACACACGTTGCCAGTTCCCCAAGGGCACGGAGTCAAACAAACACACTTTCCATCGAGGCACGGCGACATCACCTGGTTCCTAAAAGCCTATGGCAGAGTCCATTCAGCGCTATCTGTTCCATCATTCACATGCAAGGTGGAAAAAGGCTGATTCAATCATCATGATGCGTGTCTTTCATGGGTGGAGTTGTGCGCTTGCAATGCTCCAATCAGTTTGCACGGATGCCAAGAGTCTATTTGCTGTCAGCCAAATAGGCTTGCCAGCCGACCTGTTCGAGTTTCCTCCTTTTCTTCTCCACAGTGGTGGCTTCATTGGCCTGAGGTCAATTCACCGGGAAAGTTACACATCTATATAGTATGATCTAATGTATGTATACAGTTGCATTGTTTACGCAAAATGCATGTACTGCAGTCTTTGCAAGACTGCCCCTCCAAGGGACCATGAACTGTGCCATCTTTTGCCGCATGCCTGACACATCAAGCCATTGCTGCTGAACTCACGAGCTGATTGGTCAACATGCTATCTGTTCCCCATGCACGACCGCCGGCACCTAGGTGTTCAAGCTTGCTACAACCCTAGGCGCCAGAATTGTACAGCAACAAGTGTGATGGACCTCTTTGGGTACTGCCACCCCGGCCGGTACTTTCTCTCCCCATCCCCGTCCTCCCCATGGTCAGCCATATGTTCTCAGTCTACCCTAGTGCCTAGTGCTTGGCGGTTTTGCTCAAGAAGGCCCACCTGAAACGTGACACCTGCGACGTGCTTACTTCTAGTAGGCTGGATGCGTGGAAATTGCCTGGGTTTGCAGCACCAAGGATTCGCACAGCCAAAAGGCCAGCATTAGCTGCATTGCCAATTGCCACAGTTGCCACAGGAATACCTGCATGTAACGTGCTCAGCAAAAGGTGTGATGGCTAGTAGCCTCCAACTCCAACCTACTAGCGATGGCCTCAAACCTGCTAGCGATGGCCTCCAACCTACTGGACTAGACATGGCCTCCCGCCAAATAGCGATGGCCTCCAACCTAATGGCAATATGTATGTCTGCATGGCGTTCACGACCTGAGGATCTGACCTTTCGGCATCTGCATTATGGACAGCAAAGAGTCGTTGCCAGACAGCGCTGACGACTTGACAGGCACACCAATCCTGGAGTTGTAAATGTTCCAAAGCTCAATAGCCACCCCCCTTGAACTCAGGAAGCTGCTCACAGGCACAGGAAAACTACATCACTCAAGGGATCAAGCGGGAGCATGGTCTGTGGATGTCCGTTGGCACACCTGGACTGATCTTGTGCAAGTACGGTAGGCGATTCAGCCGCAATAGTCAAGTCGTGTCTGCTTGCATTACCCGGCTGGGCTCTCCCTGCCGTTCTCCAAGGCACACAGGCAAAGGCGTCAGCGCTGCCACCATACCGGGCAAGTGTGCTGCACCCCCGGCACCAGCAATGATGACATTGATTCCGCGATCTGCTGCGGTCGTGGCATACTCGTACCTGGGCGTCACCCCAAAGGCACAAGCGGCACGAGGACGCAACTCCTTACGACATTCTCTACACACAAGTTCAAGGCACTTCTACAAGTCTACAGTCTACACTGCTAGAAACTGGGTGCAAGAGAACTTTGACTCTGTTAGATCAGGAAAGTAGCATGTACTCAGGCGTTCGGTGCGCGGACACGATGCTGATTTCATAGGGGATTCCGAAATCATCAAGCACGACTGCAGCATCCTGCAATCTGGAACGTCAAACCCTGCTAGATCTGTCAAAAGGAGACATGAGATGCATTGAGATGCCGTGTCATAATACATTATTATACAAAAAATCTCAAAACATCTCAAAACAAAATTGCTTATAGAATTTATCTGCCTTGCCATCTGAACCTCTCCTTCATCGTTGGAAGGTCGCTGTCGCTCCCCATGATGATCCCCACGCTAGGTGAGCTCTTGTGCGGCACTTCGATGCTCGAAGAGTTTCCTTCACCATCAACGGCCTAGCAAAGAGAATATATATATATGTATCTATATCTCTCTCTCTCTCTATATATAAAGAAAATACTTTATATGCATAATATAAGCATATATATATATATATATAAGCAGTGTGCAAAGTAGGAGAATCCCGTATGTCGTGTATTGAGCAACTCAAACTCCTGTATTATCCTGGACCCGTGGGAAGCCCAGGTCCGTTGGTGTGATTCTGTGTTGTGCCGTGGGTAGGGATGGGTTTAGCTGGCTGTAGTACCTGTCAAAGGCTCCTTCAGTGGTGCCAAATTCCGTCCGTCAACAGAGTGTCATGACCTAAAACAAACTCGTATTGCAATCAGGCAGCTTTGAGGACAGGTCGAATTTGCTCTAGTGCACTAGCTGGTGTGAAGCCAGTCACAGTGATATGGCCCATCTTGCGGCCCTTTACGCAGCCATCCTGCCCAAAGCTCGCTAAAAAGCCGAAGCAATTAATGTAATTATGGAATACAGTTGAAGAACTAGCAGCTTTTTGACCTTGTGGACCAATGAGACCCATGGCATGCAAAGCTGCAAAGTCAACTGGACCTTGCCATACCAATGGATGCCAGCATCTGGCACACGAAGCGCACAACGCAAAGGTGCCATCGTCTGAGCCGTAAGTTCCGGGGTGCTTCCCTGGCCCAGGATATTCCTCCGTTGGAAAGGAGCGTTCTATGAGAGCTCCAGCAGCTTGCGGGAACAAGTCTGGCCTTTTGAAGGTAGGTTATTATGGTTATTCAATACATTGCTTTTAGATCTAATTATAAATGCATCACAATGCATCAATTCATGCTGCATCATACTGTCCCACACGCTCTAGAGAATCACACAGAATCCAAGAGTCACCATCATAGCACCGCCAACACCTCAGAATAATCTGCGTGTTCCAACTCTTCTGGGTTCCTATGGGTCCAACATGCCTGAAGATCAAATGCACAAATGTATACCACTGATATCCTGTGATTACCTTCGTGCCTCCAAGCTGCGCAAGTGACAGTCACCAAGAGGCAAGCCCAACACTGCTCTGAGATGCTGCTCGAACTGGTCGACACCACACGCTTCCTGGGCTAAATGCTCGGCACTGTCCGGTTCGCAGGTGCGGAAATGGTCGGAACATGTCAGAACAAACTTAAAAAATAACAGATAAATTTGGTGATGTGTTGCGCAACGGGATGTTGAAACGGGTCCGTATAGTAGGCCTGTGATGAGCCAGCCACTGGTGAAACTGAGCTGCTGTTCCAACTGACTGGAGCGAAGCGTGAGGGCTACGAGTTAGGACCCTGCCCAATTGTGACCGTGCCGCAGCAAACCCAGCACCACGGTAGGGACAATGTCTGAAGTTGAGACATGTCATGCCCTCATACAGTGATGATGTATGCCGATGTCACATTGCATGCCGTTGCGCAGTGTCCATCGCTCAGGTGTGAGCTGAAGAAAGCGACGAAACAAACCCGAAAATAGTAAAAAAGCTGAGCGTCCATGGTGTAGTGACCAGTATTGTGCGGTCGGGGTGCAATCCTTGGAGGAATTTGGAGGAGGCCAGCTCATGACTCCAAGTTGCTTCAAACCCAAAAAACCTGCGCACCTCCACCAGAAAAGCTGGGGTTGAATCGGGTTGAACCACAATTTCAACTTCGAAGTTGATGGTTTTCCTATCAGCTTCGACATGGAAACATCTTGAGAAGGTCAAGCCGTGCGGGCTTGCGCCTGCCAACGTGGCCACCGCAGTGACGGAGTAGATGCCAGGGGGCTCATTCAGCAGCACCGAGCCATCGTCCAAAAGAAACATCTCAACGCCGAAAATGCCTCGGGCATCGCCTCAGCAACATTACCCACCAAACATATTCAAAAGGAACTGAATCGAATCAAACCAAGCGCTGGTGCCAAAGTACCAAAGCTTTTGATCGCATCCGTTGCGATCTTCTGCGCAAGTTCTTGCTCTTTCTGGGTGACCTCAAGCAGCATCCCCTTGCACAAAGTTTTTCGGCCAGGATCTGACGCAATGAATCCTACACTTGACTTCTATGCAAAAGTGCTGACACCACATGTCCAACTCACAACTGCCATTGCCAAGTGTCACCAACTGGCGGTGTCAAGCAAGTAAAGCAAACGCTATCCCGCTGCACAGTGTGCACCACTGGGTAGGTGCCTGCAAAAGGTTGCCGACAACAAGAGATGGCAACCCATCTTGTCGTGGGTTACAGTACTTCCTCAGAGCCCGGTTAGAAGAAGAAGAAGGGAGCGACTGAGCGAGGAGAGAGAGAGAGAGAGAGAAACCAAAAGGCCATATAATATACATGAACAATAAGAATGAGAGGAACCTTGATCTCAAGAAAATAACTGCCAAAAGTGAAACCCATTATTGCACCTGGCAAGCACCAAAAGTCTGAATGCCAGCTGCTAATTCTCATACAAGGTGCGCATTGTGACATTCATGGTTTCATCAACACCACGTGCGACCATAACGGCGAGTTCCATCTTGAAAGGTGCCCACTTTTCGACCTGAGATCCGAGGCAACGTCCTTCAGAACTTCAGCGGCAATGTAGATAGCTGATACCCTAGAGCAACTAAGATCTTCTTTGATTCGTCAGGTGTCGTTCTGCAGGCCACCTGACAAAGCTTGCTATGGCCTGTGCGTTGTTTCCCCAAATCCCAAAGATTTGATGGAAATCAGCAGTCAAATTGAACTTGATGTCGCAGTCAAGTTGCGTACAACTTCCTCGGGGCAACATCTCAAGGTCTTCAAGTGCAAAATAATAAGCTACGTTCATGTAAATTCTATTAAATTCTGGAATGCACCTGGTTCCATTGATTGGTGAATTTAGTGGTTTGGGTAGAAACCGGGATAGTCATCAAGCGCTGAGTCTGGGAAATACGCGAACGTAAATCAGCTCGAGCCGTTCCTCCAAGTGTCTTGCCGGCCTTTCCTCCCAGCTTTTCCCAGGCTGCTGGGATGCTTGCAGCATCACTCACCACTGCGTTGCCTTTACCATCGTATGCTCCAAAGCCTGTCTCAGCTGGAGGCCAAGCAAAAATTGATTCTAAATCATGTTATTGTATTAAACTATACTACATAGTTACACAGTTTTACAATGTTTATCAGTGTTTGGCAGTGATGCCAGGTTGCCAAGGCACGGCTTTTCAGCATCATAGGGTAGCCAAACTTCTCGCCGATCTCGTGCAGCTCAGCTTCCTTGGAATTCAGAATATATAATACAGTAATCACAACAAGTAGTTCCGCATCCTCGGAGGCTCTGCAGCGACTCCTTTGCTTCATGAGCCTCACGTAGATCGGAAGTAGTCCACCAAGAGGGCCCCCGGACCCCCAGCACATTGGCACACCAATGATTATTGATAGTTTCTTTTTCCAAGGGTCGCTGTCAACTTTCAGAAAGTCTGGAAGGGGAATACGGTGCTTTTGCAAATGCACTTTCCTTGGCCACAGAAACGGAGTGAAATAACAAACCATGCAAAAAGCAACTGCGTGGAGCGTGACAAGGTGCTACACGGTGCTAGAGATGCCTTCAGTCTTAAGTCTTAGGTGCGAGTTGCATGTCGAGTGCTTGTGCTTCACCCTTCCTTGCGATCCAAGCCGCTGATCGTACTTGTCTTGGATGAGCTTCACCACAAAGGGAAGCGGCTGTACAGGAACGCCCTTGAGATGGAGCTCCTCCAGAGCCTCTCAACCAGGACCACAAAAAAGCAGGCAGGGGACTTGAACCCATTCGCTTCCACCCAAAATAGAAGAAAAGTATAGAAAAGTCATCAGTCAACAAGTTTGTGTCCTGCGCACAGTTTGGGGGGGCAGGATTGCTGCGCTTACACAGTCCAATGGTGGAGCTCGACATGCCTGGGCATTCACATGCTCGACCTCCAGGGTCAAAATGTCACATTTGCTGGCCAGCTCTGATCTTCTCAGCATCCTGACATTTGGAAGCCAGCCCGTGGGCACAGCTTCCGAACTTCCACTGGCGCACAGCTCACCAGCTCACGCCACTCACGCCTGAAAGCTGCCCTTGATTGACAACTCTGACACCTGCCAGCCGATTCCAGTGCCCGCCAGTGGCCATTGCCTTCATTTTACGTTGTTACCATATCGGTTGCCCTATATAAATTCATGGACAAGACTGAGACCGCCTGGCCAGCCGGGCTGGATTCGCCCAAGGGGTCCAAAACACACATGCGCACGCCCAAACGGTGTGCGGCATAGACCATCATGCGGCCCAGCTGACCTGAACGCACAAATGCCAAACTTGAAACCAGAGCAATATGGTATATATCAAATCAAAGGTATGCCAGAGTACGTATTCCTATCCAATTCCAACTGCATCTCACTTTTCAGCATGGCAATTTATGCATAAAGAAGTGAACAGCATTGTCTTTCTGCCTCCTCCCAAACATCCAACGGTTCGTGTGTCCATGGCCTTAGGTCAAGGAATAGTGTCGGCAACTCAGTGTTTCTTTGAACCATGCATTCCTCCAGTTTCTCCTTGCTGCTCGGAGTCTTTGCGAGTGGCCACCAAAAACTAATTTAAATAGGTTTGGCTGTCAAAAATGGCTGCTGGAGATGGTCATGCATTTGGAGCTTGTCTTCATCTTGTTTGCATCTTGTTCTCCAGGCCCACCTTCCAGTAGAATTCAGCAGCACAAATGAAGGGTGCACACACTTGATCAATCTTTGAATCGGGATTCTTATGATTCTTTCTTTGGTAGTTACTCAAGAAGTACTGGCATCCTGGAGACATGGAAACATCAGCGAAAACATACGAATACGAGAGCAACAGCAGCTCGACAGCAATGAGGACCATTGTTCCTGCTGCAGCTGCTCCTAGAACTCAACACACTTCGCATACTTCGCTTTTGCAAGGCCCCGTGGTTCAGCTCAATTGCTGCACCGAACGACCAAGATGGCCCACTTGGACATGGCGCATGGCACCACATTGGGCCCAAAGGGCTCCTAGTAACGGTCCAAACTCACAGTGAGATGCAGTGAGTAGGAAACGTCACTGCGGCCCATAAGCATACGGGATTGTACGATATAAATTATACGAGTATCTTTTGTCAAGCATACGAGAGGTGGATGAGTGATGTCACAACACCGCAGTTCGTGATGCATCATCAAACCCACCTCGCGCCACAAACAGTTTCAATCCATCAGCATGGTTTATGTTGAGAAGGTCAGTAGTGGACATTTCAGAGGTCGGGATGCCATTCACAAAGAGGACAACATCATCCATGCGCAAGGAAAAAGCATCCGCCCATTTCTCTGGATGTACCCAATCAACGGTCAAGACACTTCCGCTCATCCCATGCGATTTGAATCCCAAAGTCTCAAGCCCAAGCCCACCAATAGGAGCTTGTATCTCAGCACCACTCAGTCGTGCCAGCCTCTTGGCAGAAGCTTCAAGCTTCAGGGCCTCGCTAGTGGATGATTGCACAGCTTGCTCCACTATCAAGTCCAGTTTGTCAGATTGCAGGCAACTTTCGCTAGCATGTGCATCCTCTGAGGGAGCTCCCAAATTGCAAAAGTAAAGAGCCAGCTGGCTCTGATCATCCCAGGACACGCAACACTCAAGGCCTGGAAGTTCTTTTTGGACTCTTTCTCGGATCCCGCTGAGGGTAAAACTGTTCACCTCGGCTTGAGCCACTCGAGTCATCTGAAAGGCAACTGCTACCACACGGCCAGCGCCAGCCGCAAATGCATCAGTGCCCAATTGCTTCGAAAGTCGCAGAAGAAGCCGATTCCGTGCTTTTGCAGTGCGGCACTTTGAAGCCAAGTCCTGAGAAACAGCTGCATCTCTCTGCAGCTTTTTGGATTGGCTGGCTTGGCTTGCTTCGCGTGGCTTTGAGACCAGCTCTGACAACAACTTGGACAATTCCTCGGCACGAGCCTTGGCTTGAGGCAGCTTCTCCTCAGGTCAGCCCACAAACAGTTGTACAAAATACTAAACATTATCTTAAAAGCATTTTGTAGTTTAATTACGAAGCAAATGGCCTCCCAAAACTTGCGCCAAGTCTCTTTCAGGTATTCTTGTCTCTGCAAGTTTTCAACCCTCTTCTGATGCAAAAGCTTCAACCCGTCAAGTTCATCTTGCTGTGCCAGGTGGGACTTATGGAGCTGATCCACTACAGTGCGTGGAAGCTGTAGGCATTTCCCGAAGCACACATTCGCTCTAGCAGTCCCTTTTGGCAAACTTCCCTCAGCCGGTTCCCTGCGCTTCTGCATCTCCTGCGCTCGTCTATCCGAATGGCGCAGAGTTTCGGAGAAAATCGCCCACCTGGGAACGATCTCTGAAAGCTCGGGCTCGCCTCCAGCTTCGGCATCATTAAAGTCCTCCAAGTCAAAAGGCCGAACATCCTGCTTTGGGCCGTTTACTTCAATATACCCAAAGCCGTCCCCCATCCATTGCGACCGCACTTGGTTCTGACAATATATCCTTGCATACTGGAAGATACCAGCCTTGACATAATGCCCCTGCAAGGTGCTCAAAATTAAGGCTGGAATTCTTTGAGTCATTCACCTGGAATTGTTTGCTTTTAATCTGTTCTAGCTGATGGAGAAAGCATCTGCATGGAGATGTTTGCGCAAAAGCGAGCTGCAAGCGCTCCTGCAGCTTGTTGACTGCCGGTATATAACATCGAGCGACTGTATAGCATAGCAAAGTGCTTTCTTGGACTTGAACCAAGAAGCCTTAGATAGATAGAGTCATATATATAGAGAGCGATTATAATATATATATATATTCTCAAATTTCGTATTCTGATTCTCCCGGCAAACAAGGTCAAACACCTTCTAATGCCAAAGCTGGCCACAATACCCCGTTTATGCAAATCGCACACCACATCTTGGTTAGCCTGCTTGGAACTTTGGCAGGCTCTTGGCCCCGATTCTCAGGGCTTCAGTGTGAGAGCACGGATCAGCATGTTTGGTTTTCCGAGCGTAGCACTGCAAGCACCCATCAAAACAATGTCCGCACACATTCACATTTGTGCATAAATGATCGTAAATTGCGTGCGTATGAGGGGGACACCAAGGGCAAATCTAACAAAGTTTGCTTGGGATGCTTGCGAGCAAAAGTGCCCTGGTTCCTGCCAGGTCCAGGCACCAGGAGCAACTGTAATGTTCAAAGACCACGTCAACTGTCGACCTTTGAGATGGTGATCGAACTTCATAGCACCCCAAAATAATCAAAACTACAAAAACTATCATGCAAACTATCACCAATAAGGTCAGGACGTGAATGGCTCAAACGGTCTGCTGGCAATCTTGGCATCTCACACCATATCTGCAGCTGCCTGTCCTCAAGCACAGTACAACAAAGCAACAGCAATCAAAAGCAGCTCTGGAAGCAAACCTGGAATATCCTCAAATCATAATATTGTGAGAAGTCCCCACCAAAAGCAAAGTGTCGTGTCTAATTAAATTAATCATAATTAATCACTTCTCAACATCTTTAGGACTTGGAAGCTCTACCAGCTTGACTCTTGACCACATCTTTTTATATCTGTTTATCCTTTGACTTTCCATTGAGGTGCTGAACAAAACTCCAAGGCCCGTGCCTTTCAAGCCACTGGCCGCTGTCGAACTTCGAGGGTGAGCCGAATGGCAACGTCCCTTCGTTTCGCTTTCTCTGCCGTCGTCCCCAATGGTCAGGACCACTTCGCCGCTTGAAGCTCCATCCTCATCCGGCTCCGCTTGCTCCGCTTGCTCCGCGACACGTCGGGCCACGTCCTGTGGACGAGTTGAGGATGTCGAGTTTCTTTGTTGGTTGTTGGGTGTTGTTTATTGTCTAGTAATTAGTTGACGCTGTTCTTGTTCTTGGGGTGTTTATCATCATCTTCTTCTTCTTCTTGCTCTTCTTATTATATTTGTTGCTTGGTTGTTACTCTATGTATATATAGATTTAAATATACATATTGCCGTTTTGTTGTATTTGGCTGCTTTTAGTTACCGTTCCTCAGTTGCTAGCAAGCAGCTGTGGTGATGTTGTATGATGTTGTTATGTTAGTTATCTGCTGTTGTGCAGCTCTTGTTTTCGGTAGCCGTTGCTGCTCCTCTTGCTTTTGGTGCTTTGGTATGAGTTCTTTCTGTTGCCACTGCTGTTGTTCTCGTTGTCGCTCGCCGGCTGGCGGCCATTACATGCTACGTACCTTCTTGACGCCGTACGAATTTTCCCCTGAATTGTGCGCATGATCGGTGCTTCGTGCATTGGGCCTTTGCATATCAGCCAGGGTCGAGGCTACAGTGGAGGTGAACAAGGAAGAGGCCGGTGGTTGGCCGTTTGCACTTAATTACACAACGAAAACGATTCCTCTCCTTTGGGACTCCAATGCATGATGCAAAAAGGAAAGCGATTCGGGTGGTACAGCTACACTTTGATATTATAGAGCTAGGGCCTCATAAGGATAGGACCCAGCCCGTGAAGGCCTTTCACCCTCTCCAGCCTGGCTTCCACTTGCCTGAATGCCTGCCCCATTGCTGAGAGCATCTTGCAGCTTTTGCTGATTTGATCCGACTTCTTGGTTGGAATTTTGTATCGTCGGGATAAGCTCCAGTGCATCCTGTCTCTGCAAATTCGTTGCGCTTGAGCTGGATGCAAGTTCCCGAAGCACCTCGTTGCTGACATGCGCTCCTTCCTCACATCAGAACCGAAGAGCACAAAAACATGCAGTATACCTCAAAGGCGGTTTCAAGTGCCAGTATCTCACCATATCTCACCTGTACCACCAGTGCCCAATTCGGTCCTCATCTTGCAAGGAGCGGGGCACCAGCTTCCAATGGATGAGCGGTGCCTTCCAAGAAGTCACCAGGAGTTGGCTGAGAATGATGAACAAAGGAGTACGTGAGTAAAAACATCATGTGTTTTAAACCGAGATTTGAAGCAACGGTGTCAAGAGTTGCATCAACCTCTCCGACTTGGACAAGGCACACCGCTCCGCACGCGATGTGGGGTCAGACAATGGCTAGCTGGCCAGTCAGAGGCTTCCAGCAACACCTCAGTTGCCGGGTCTGGCTGGAACAGCTTTGCCTTGCCAAATGTCCACATTAGTGAATTATGGTGAATTTAACACGCAACAGTCGAACAAGTTTGACAATTTGACAATGTACAGTGTGCATAGGGCCCGGCCTGCAAGACACCTGCACAAAGACCGTCGCCTGTCAATTGCACTTGACATCCATGTATATACCTGATGCCCTTACAGCACCGTTTTTAAAAAAACTTAATATAATGCAACATAGCAGCTGCTTTCGCTGTTGGCAATCTCAATCTCCTGAGCGGATGGGCGGCTACAGTATTCAGTGGATACGTTCTGCTCGTCAGCATCTTGGAAGGTTGACTGTGATGGCCCGCCTCCTGCATCTCCACTTCCTCCTCCTCAGGCTCTAAGTCGTCCCTGCTTAGCTGGCCTCCCATCTGCAAAGCAGTAATAGGCAGCAATAAGCATCTCCGCGCACACAATGCCATCTCCCATGATATCACCGTCTTTTTACTGACTTAACCTGGCCTTAGCCCAAAAAAACACCAGACCACCTCCCGAGTGGAACCTATCGCCCTGATTCTCAGCGCCTATGCTTGCGAGCGCCGCCTGGCGCACCCCGCTGCGTGCCGCGCTGGCACGGGGTGGCGGGAGCAATTCCATCTTCGGGAGAGCCTTCCGTCAAGGTCTGTACCAGACTAAGTGATATCAGAACGAAATCAGAATTGCAAACCTACATCTATGCTGAGACTGTTCGCAGTCTCTGGACATGTTGGACGCTGCTTTGATACGCACTTTTGATGTCCAGCCTCGGCATCAAAGGATATATGACTGTGCTGCCTTCTCAAGGCAAGCAACGGCAACCCCTACACCACAATCCTCGTGCTTGTCAAGCTTTCACCTCTGAAGCAATTCTCTCCCCACCTCTGAAGCAACGTCTTGGCCGACTGTGGCGCTCGCAGGGGCTGCGCGAAAGGGTGCAAGGAGAAGGCGAGGATCAAGCGGTGCAGTGAGAGGCCAATGAGAAAAAGTAAGCCGCCAAGTTGCCCGGCCATCCTGCGAGGTGGAGCAACACAACACACAACCACATATTGTATTTTTTATGCCCCAGATAGCGAAGCTATGGGGTTCTTACTTCAAATAACAATGAGTTGCCCGTGCGAGCTTTCGAGACAGGTTGCTGGTGCCGGTGCCGGTGCTGGTGCTGGGTGCCGGGCGCCGGTGCTGGTGCTGTGAGCTGGCTGTGCGTGGTGGAGACAGGTTGCTGGTGCTGGTGCCGGGTGCCGGTGCTGGTGCTGGCTGTGCACGTGGTGGAGACAGGTTGCTGGCGCTGGTGCTGGGTGCCGGTGCTGGGTGCCGGTGCTGGTGCTGTTAGCTGGCTGTGCACGTGGTGGAGACAGGTTGCTGGTGCTGGTGCTTGCCGGGTGCCGGTGCTGGTGCTGTGAGCTGGCTGTGCTGGTGCCGGTTGCTGGTGCTGGTGCTGTGAGCTGGCTGTGCGCGTTGCTGGTGCTGGTGGCGGGTGCCGGGTGGCGGTGCTGGTGCTGGCTGTGCGCGTGGTGGAGACAGGTTACCGGGTGTTGGTGCTGGTGCTGTGAGCCGGTGCTGGTGCTGTGAGCTGGCTGTGCACGTGGTGGAGACAGGTTGCTGGTGCTGGTGCTGGTGCTGGGTGCCGGTGTGGAGGTGCCGTAAGCTGGCCGTGCAGGCTGCGTAAATCTTATTCGAGCCAGTCCCATGTCAACAGGTCGTGGGATTCTGCCTAGCTATCTGGGTCTATGCTGGTGTAATTTATATAAAACACATCCAAAGATATATATATATATATGTTCACATCATTCATCATTCAACATCCACAGCAAGGAGGCTGTGGAATTTGCATTTGTCTCGGGCTTGGGCTTCCGGAGGTCTTCATGTAAAATAAACCAAGGTGCACAAGATGCTCGGGCGGCACTGAGGCCAAATCCCACCATGCTGCCTGAACCACTCCAGAATCCTGACCAAAATGGGAACAAATGTGCATGTCCTTCACACGCGGATTCGGCCTTGACTTGCACAATGTGAAGTGACACGCCTCCGATGCTCGCATGCCCATCTCTAGGAGCACCAGCATCGTACAAACCACACCTCGTGCCAATATGCGTCAAACAGAATAGGCACGAGCAAGCCACACAAAATCGCTGCCTTGGGTTAGAAATCCTGAAGCCTCCCGAGCCCCAGGCCAGTTAAGGTGGATGTGACATGGGCCAAGAAGAAGCCGAAGCAGTCAGACTCGAACATGTGGCCTTGTCAGCAACTTTTTGTGCTCAATCTGTCCTCCCAATAAAGCATCCTGTCGGCCATGTCCTCTTAAGTGCCATGACATACTGAATCGATGCCCACGGAAGTGTAGAACTTCCAGGTAATGTATATATTATATAAGTACGTAATTCTGGACGTGCTCTGGAAGGCACATGAACACATCAGGCAAATGCCAAGCGCTGCAGGGAGATCCCCAAACTATATTAATAAATGCACAACGTAGGATGCGAGCAAACCCGGGAGGGGAGGGCGGGGCAGGCAGGAGGTCATTGAGGCTTGCTTCCTT